TAAAAAGTAAAACATACTAAGTGAGCAATAAAAACATTTTCCACAATTATTTAGCTTTCAATCCTTGCCCATGCTTTTGTAGATGCTTTTGAGCACAGCATCCCATGATCATGTGCCTAGTTATAATCTGAGTGTATATAATGGAAGCATATTACTATTTCCAGCAGCAGCAAAGTGCAGAAAAAATACACAAACCAAGCTGAGAGAATACCATGGCTTTCTTATTTAATCTACTCTGAAATGGAATTAAAGTACAGTGGTGCCTCGCATAGCAACAATAATCAGTGCAGCAAAAATCACTGCAAAGCGATTTCGTCGCTATGCGATTTTCAAAAGCCCATAGAAACGCATTAAAACCTGTTTAATGCGTTCCTATGGGCTAAAAACTTACCTTTAAGTGAAAATCCTCCATACGGCGGCCATTTTCACTGCCCGGTAAGCGAGGAATCTGCGCGAAAACACAGCGGGCGGCCATTTTTTAACCCAGCGGCCATTTTGGAACCGCTGATCAGCTGTTAAAAAATCTTCGTTTTGCGATGAGCGGTAAGCGAAACAGGGAACCGATCATCGCAAAGCGGAAAAAACCCATTCAGACCATCGCAAAGCGATCGCAAAAAGTTAATCGCTATGCGATTTCATCGTTAAACAGGGCGCCCATTAAGCGAGGCACCACTGTAATCTTAAACAAGTTGCTCAATAAACACTTATACTGCTATTGAAAAAACATGACAGCATTTCATTAATCTAGGCTTCCAACAGATAACAATGTACAAGAGAATATATGATGCCCTCTGAAATAATCAGGATTCAGTCTACCAAATGTCACATAGTTTGAATTCGGCATGAAATTAACTGCCAGCTGCATTATGATATAAGTGAGTACCGGTCCAACGCAGATAAAAAAGCTACTATATTCTGCACTAGATAAAATTTCCAAACCACAGTCAAAGGTAGTCACAGATAATGTACATTGCAATGGTATGGTCTACAGGCAGCTATAGAAGAGCAGCTACTAGTTTCCATCTTCCAACAGCAGGCATAGTCCATCTATCAGCTAAAGTTGATAAAAGACATCCTGGGCCACAGATGTTACTTGGAAATTCAGAAGGAATGCTAAGCTCAACAGACCCTCAGTCTGGCAATCTGAACCTTCAAGGGGCATGGAATCTTGTATACAGCAAGCGCTCACTGAACACATTGAGCCCCCCACTATCATTAACTCAATCTTCTCTGCAGCCTGAACCTGTAACTCCTAATCCAGCCTGCTACTGATGGCAAGTATGCATCCAGGGATTGCACTGCTTTGTCAAGACAAGAAAGTAAAAAGGAGCTACAATACCTTTGACAAGGAGAAAAAGAGGTTGACAATGATGATACCTGCTACTGATGGCAAGTATGCATCCAGGGGTTGCACTGCCTTGTCAAGACATGAAAGCAAAAAGGAGCTACAACAGCTCTGACAAGGAGAAAAAAAGGCTGATACTAACTCTGTATCTCCTGACCATCTCTGCTGTCAGTTTCATGTGTAAACCAAACAGCTGGGGAGACTGTCTTGGCTCCTGAGGAATGGCATAGGATAATTCCTCTTGGAAGGAACAGCAGGCTCATGGTACCACCTACGAGAAGAGCAATGGCCAAAGGGGGCATCACAGCCCTCTAGCTGTTGCTAGACTGCAACACCCAACAGTGCTAGCCAGCAAAGCCCTTGCTAAGAGTCACTGGGAGTGCTACCCCAAAATCGGGTGAGGCACAAACTGCCCATCTCTCTTCTAAATGTGTGTCTGTCTTACATGATACAAACATTTTTCTTTTCTTTTTGCAGTGAGAACTGGCATAGGGCACAGCTAGGCAAGAAGATATTCTTCCTCTCCTGGAATGCCCATTAATATTACTGAAGACCACTGACTACTCCACTTATCATTCTGCTTTGCAAGATTTTAAGACAGCTGATTGCCAGACTTCAAGGCACTCCCAATGATAACACAGAGGAGTTACTGTCAACTTGTCTGTAGTGCTCCTGAAAACAGTCATTTTGCTCCTTGATTATAAGCTGTCAAACTCTGTAAAAACAAACAAAAACAAGAAGCAGGAGGTCCACAGAAAGACGCTCATGTGGCAAAAATGGCAATTACATGTCAGATATCATGGATGCACTTTTTAACTTAAAAATAGTGACCCTGTGCAACGTGTCATTTTTGAATCTTTCCACAGAGTAACATAGTTCAAATGCCTGCTTTGTGAAACAAAATTATGCCACAGCCTGTGACAAAAGGCCCAAACGCAAGAGAAGGGCAAAAGAAGATCTGCATGTGGAGTGTAAAACTAGAAACAGCTTTTAAGGCAGCATTGACCATGGACTACGAGTTCAACAATAAAAAGCCACACGAAAAATTATGATTACCATAAAAACAGATTGACTAGGATCTAGAAATTACATACCAGGTTTATAAAAAATGTGAAGGAGATGATCATATGTTGCAAGACTAGGTTCTGAAACATACAAACATATGATAAACAAACTTAATCTTTAATCACTCAAGATATAAATATTTGAATCAATCCATATTATATTCAAATCAGAATTATCTGAAACTTTTTGGTTAACAATGCTGAAAAATATCTCAGAATGCATTATTACAGTGGCACTCTAGGATCCATTTCAGACTCACTGATCACAAGGTGATCCTTTACTCATAGGCTCATCTAATATACTTGTGATTACACTCATAAGCATACCAAACTACGTACACTCATTCGAGCCTAGGTTTGCTGGGATAGTGGGAAAATGGAGAGAAAGAGGGAAATAAGAGAGCAGCGGATGAAACACAACCAACCCCCTTTAAAGCATTTGCAGACTGAAGCCATCTCCAACTAAGAGGCTAACCTCGCTGCACCATCAGTGTGACGTCTGGACTTTAATAACAGCATGTAATTTGGAATTACCCATTGGAACTTGGTGCACAGCCTTGAAGAAGATAATTTATCAATGAAAGCTGTTTGCTTTTTCTGGGATTTTTTGTTTTATATTCTTAATAGTCAAATAAAGGTATCACCCATTCCTATAACTGTATTGTTTCAATGGCCATGCAACCTTTTCCTGAACTCTCCCTTGAATTTTATGCCTACCACTTTCCTCATGCCATATCCATTCTCAGCTATTTACAATTTGCCTAGATTTATTTCCTGTGGGCACAGAGATATTTAACTGTTTCCCAGAGATGAAGGAAATATTTGAAGGAGACAATGAATGACTGAATTAAGGGTCAAACACCTTCTTCAGTCCTACCAATTTTCTTATGCGCGTTGGAGTGCCAGTGCACCCTGAATAACATCCGGTCAGATCAGTCCCTGGGCACCCAAGGTGTCACTGCCCGGGGGTTATTAATAGTAATGGACATTTGATGGCTAGAGTGCAAATGTTTTTATTTCAGTTCATCAGGTGTAGGGTACTGATTGGTTATCCTGCTCAAGCTTCAGGTAAATATAAGTCCTCACTACTCCCTTCCCTTTGGCCCTTCCTCGGTCTTTGTCACGTCACAGCAGGAGGGACAAGCACTGGTGATTTAAGAAGGTGCACCTTTGCTGGATCATCTCTGGCTCCCGGGTCAGAGACTTTTCTCACAGACTTCCCCTCATGCTTCTACAACTCCTTGATGCAGAATTCATATTCAATGTTCTCCTTGCTCTTTGGGCTCCTGCATGCACTCCTGCTACGACTCTCTATTCTCTTGGCACTCCCTGAGCTGCTCCCAGAGGTGGAGTCTTTCTCCTCCACTCCTTCTCCCAAATTCTGGTCCTGTCTTCCCACTAAATCATCTCCTAGGATGGGAAATGTAGCTTGCTAAGGTCTAAGGGCCCATTCTGCCATGTCTCTCCTGTCTCTCTGTTTGTAATATTTTAACCCTGCCTTTCTCCTTAAAAAGAACCCAAGGCAGCTACCACTTTCACTTTCCCTCCACTTTACCTCAGCCTCTCCGTCTTACTCTCCTAAGGTGCTAGGCAACAGGAGACACCTTAATGAATTCTGTATTATCTAGATTCACAAGCCCCATGGTCTTTCCATGCCACACTCCAATGGTTCTTGGGCATCAAAGAAAGCTTCTTTGAACTTACGTAAGTAGGTGTTGTTGTCAGGATCGTAAGATCAAATTATAATCAAAACCAGTGCTCAGAATGTGGTATTGTCTATTCTTTGCAGAATTTTTAAGGTGTCTCTTGGCAATAAACTGCTTCTGAGTCAAGAATACCAAATCTGAATTATTCTAGGAACTTCCAACACAAAAATGTGAAGAATGTTTATCTTTCAGAGTACCTAAAAAGTTGCCATCCTGACTGTCTCGAGGAGAATCAAGAGGAGTAAATAGAAAAAGGCATGAACAAAACAGAAGGAAATCTCATTGTTGTCCCACAGGTTTAATGATGGTCATGCATGAGATTGTTACTAAAGAGTTCCCTACCAAGGCATCTTAAGCAGGTCACAAAATGTCCACAGCACTAGTGGCTGCAATTTGATCACACTGGGAAATTGTACAAACCCCACATTCATATGTAACATGCTATGATACATATGATATACAACTACCCTTTTTCAGATGCCATAATCACATACATTTGCAAGGACTAACTAAACAGTCTTTGGATGTTTGCCTCTTTGCAGAATAAAATGACAAGGAAAGCAAAGAATTCCAACCTATATTTAGCGCTTTCATCTCATTCAGGGTCCTCATGGCCATACGTTTGCCAGGATTACCAGAAAACCTCATTGTTTTCAGCACAGAATTAAAAGTTAGCAGGTTCGGCTGCACATTTTGTTGCTTCATCTGCCTCAGCAAGTCCTAGAAACAAAGGTGAACCAGAAAGCAAGACCTAAATAGAGACTTTGAAGAAGAAAAAACATATTTTCCCCTTTCTTTAAGATGTATGCCATTGTCCCCAACACTGGAAGAACATTTATCAGATTTATCACACCAATATGCTGCAAAACCTGTTTGCAAATAAAATCCCACTAAAAACAACAGGATTTGCTTTCATATTATTAACCTTTGTGCGTGCACATGTACATGTATGGGCTGTTAGCTCCAAGTTAAATAGATTTACTTATATGCCCAGTCTTTGTTTCAACTTTAAGGTAGCAATGCACTAAACAAGATACTAGAAATTTACAGGGGCTGAAATGCAGTAGTAAATTGCAACTAAAACAGGTTCAATAAATCAGTGAGGATTTGGTAAGTCACCTTTTCCATTAAGTTCAACTGATTCAACAGGCCTACTGTAGTTGCAACTTCAGCCAATACGTCCCCAGTTTTAAATTTCTCTATCAAAACTTTGGTTGCTATGGATGATTAGAGAATGCATTAAAGCATTTCTGAGCACTAGAAACTGTTTTATCAGTGTTAATTGCCATTACATTTGAGACAAGCACATCTGCTTGCAACACCCTTGACCTCCACCACATTAAATGGCAAGTAACATCTTTCACACAGTGCAACCTACTGGGGCTACAGAAGGAAAAGTCATGATTGGTGCAAGCTGATCAGCAATGTCCCAGGATAAACATGGTTGAATTGTAAGTACATCAGATACCCGTGTGATCTAAAATGAACTAGATCAGTGGTTTCCAACCTTCGGTCTCCCAGTGTCTTTAGACTACAACTCTCTGAAATCCTGGCTGGCACAGCTACTGGTGAAGGCTTCTGGGAGTTTTAGTCCAAGAACATCCGGGAACCCAAAGTTGGGAACCACTAGACTAGATGTTTACTAACCTGGACAACTGAATGGTGTGTATCTTACTTACCATTTTTCCCTGTGAAATCCAGGGCTAATGATCACCACTCATGACATTTTTTGTCATTTTTTGCCTGCTCAGTGTCTTGAGTGATAGAGTTTTGCCACCCATTATTTGTGCGGACTGGCTAATAATTAACCTCTTCTGGCCTGAGGGCCACCGATCCTATTAATACAGATGGGGCCATTTCTCTTCCTTGCCCAAACCTGCACTCATTTTCATCCCTACCTGGCTTGTGCAAGGGCTTTAGAAGATATAATCTGCTACACTAGTGAATAATAATATTCAACCTGTTGAACTGGCATAGTAAATGCCACATCCAGTTCCAAGTCACAACTGGACAGAGAGGCCCATATATTCAGCCCGTGCCACGAGGTAGACCAATTTCTTGCCAATCATTGCACTACAGAGTCATGTTGGACTCACTGGCTAAAATGCTGTTGCTTCGTAATACAAAAAGTGTAACATCCTATCATTCCTAACCAGAAATACCTACACCCAAAAATCCCAGCAGGGATTGTTAATTGCTGGCCAAGAATGAGTGAATACTATACCTATTGAGTAACAAAGTAACAGGACTTCAAGCATGGCAAAGATGCAATAAAACCTTATGAATCTGATACTTTCCTTACCTCGATAAATTCACATCGTTCAACGGACAATGACTTTATTTCTTTAGCTGCTAAAATGAGTGCATTGAAGGTGTACACATCCGCTGAAAGAAATGGCATATCAGTTAGATGCTAAGCAATTGCACCGGACTGTGTGCACTTTCCTTATATAAAGGTTGCTTCTATGGCACTGATTGTTTCTATGGCAGCTCAGTGTAAGGCGGAATTCTCGTGTGAGCCAGTCTCCAGGAAGCTAGCCACATGCCAGCAATGCTGGAAAGCAGATAACTCACACTCAGCTCCCATTATCTAGCTGAGGTCCGTACCCCTGCGCCAATCATCATTGCTGCAAAGAAAAGCCCGAACTGTCAGAAAGTGAAGCAATAATCTAAACGCCACAGGCAACACCCTGTCCCTGTGACACCAACTCCAGTCTCACTCACACTGCAGGGGAAGCGCCCAGTCACTAGGCACAGCTTCTCCCTACTTTCACAAAACACTGCATGAAGTGTCATATAGAGATGGGCAAATACTACTGGTTGCTATACCTTTATTGTTTTAATTGGCTTTTAGTATTACAATAATAATCTTAGAACTACAGAGCTAGAAGGGACCCTGTTGATCATCCGGTCCAGCTCCTTTCAAGGAAGCACAGTGGGGAATCGAACTCCTAGCCTCTGGCTCTCTGTAGCCAGAGACCTAAACCACTGAGTTATACAGCAGACTGATTTATTGCTCATTTAATTATTGAGACTGGTAACTGCTTAATTTGATTTAATAGCAGCCTTGGGAATTATATTAAAGGAAAAGTGGAATACAAAGGTAATTATAATAAATAAACAAGCTATCCAGATCTTACCATTAAACCCATGGTTCAATAACTCAGCATACATGCCAAAAGCATCTTCATATGCTCTGTGCTGCAAGGTATTAAAAAAGCATTAGATATACTTTGGTATTAGTCTAGAGAGATTTAATAGAAAGAAATCTGTTATAAAGACGATTACTACAATACCTTCACCATTCCTCTAATCATCGTGCAGTACGAATGTGCGTTTTTTTCTGGCATTAGCTTAAATATCCTCTCAGCATTATTATTTTTCCTGTTATTTCAAAAAGAGCATTATTTAGATCAATTCTCATTAAAATGTTTGCAAGCATCTCAGTAGACTGAAGACAGAATCAGACAGAAATAGCCTGCTCTAGTTTGTGCTTGCTTGCCTACTACATGGGTGAAATAGATTTAAATGGAACATGCAACCAGCCTGAAACATGTGATCTTGATTTCTTGAATACAAGATATATTCACCGATCCCACACAGATCTGATGGACACCTGAGAAGGATACTGGGGGCAGGATTTATGCACATGCCCACCATAGTTACAACTGTACCCACTTTCAGAAAATAGCACCTGAATGTGCCTCTAGAAGAACAGACAAGCAAACAATTATCACACATTTCAAGCTGCCTGAGTAAAAATGTACAAGTCTATGGCATTTGTAGATATCATGGCACATATGTTGCTAAGTTAATGTGAAAAGTATGATCTTACTGATCTACCAATACATCAGACATTCTTTCCTTTACTCACACTTGAGTCACACACATGCTTCATGTATCATAATCACACCTAACTATTTGGACATCAAAGAGACTTCTTAAAATCTAGAACTTAATCTGAAAAAAAATCACATTAAAATGTTTGAACCATGTACATAGTAAGCCACTTCTCTTTCCCCCAAAATACAGTGGTGCCTCGCTAGCCAATTGCCACGCAGGATGATTAATCCGCAAGACGATTAGTTTTTGTGATCGCTGTTGCACTTTGCAAGACAATGGTTTCCTATGGACGATTTCGCAAGACGACGATTTTTCCCCATTGGAAAGCATTAAATAGATTTCAATTCATTCTAATGGGGAACCGCGTTTCGAAAGATGATGTTTTCTATGGACAATTTTTGCAAGACAGCGATTTTTCCATTGGAACGCATTAAATGGATTTCAATGCATTCCAACGGGGAACCGCGTTTCGCAAGACAATGTTTTCACAAGACAGCGTTTTTCACGGAACGAATTAACATCGTCTTGCGAGGCACCACTGTAAGACCTAACCAGAAAACAAGCCCCAGAATGATTTTTCAGGATGCTGGTAATATAAGCCCTACCCCAAAATAAGCCCCAGTTAAGTGAAGCCCCACTCTCCATCATTGTGTAGCAACCAGAAGATGACATGACTGTAAAATTAAACATCCCCTGAAAATAAGCCCTAACACGTTTTTTGGAGCAAAAATTAATATAAGACCCTGTCTTATTTCCGGGGAAACACGGCATGATGTTTGATGAGTCTCCTCCTTCACTTTCATCCTTAGGAAGAAGCTGAGCAGCACAAATATTCAGTGTTCTCTAAGGGAGCGCACACAGGTATGTTTGAAGAAATAGCTGGTACCTCCACGTCATGTGTCGGCCATTAGGGGTGTCCCTCTGCCTCTTCTCTTCTGATGCTTCTTGCTGCAAAAAGAAACAAGTTTTCTTCAGGTTTGCACCATGGACACAGCTGCAGACATCAGAACCCCATCCACAACCAGGGTTCTCAAAATGTTTGATGCAAATTAATCTTCAGGACAAGCACTCAAGAGTAAGAGCACAGCTCGATGACTCTTTTCAGCCTGTTTCTCCTTTTAGCATTACACAAAGACCATATCTGCCGTTGACTCTCACAAGTCCTATTTCTTAGGACAGTGGTTCTCAATTTTGGGTAACCCAGATGTTCTTGGACTGAAGCATCCAGAAACCTTGGCCAGCACAGCTAGTGGTGAAGGCTTCTGGGAGTTGAAGTTTAAGAACACCTGGTTTACCCAAAATTGAGAATGACTGTCTTAGAAAATAATGAACTTACTGACAATCCTGTTTTTTGTAATGTTATGTACTGACAACCTGTATGTTAATCAATATCCAGCCAGACTTGCTTACCAGTTCTTCTGACTCGCGCTTCTCTTCAACATGGCTGTCCATGTCAGAAGGTTCACGGTCTCCATAAAAACACAAGAGATCCAAAAGACTATTTGATGTATCCAAAGGTATGGTAGTTCCTGGAGATGGGGAAAACAAAAGTGTAAATCACATTTTTTTTAAAAAAAATTCACATCATAAAATAATTTACTTTACTTGTTCTCTCATCCATGCGTTAAACAAGCTGATGACTAGTATAACCTTTCAGCTGGAACCTATTTCTGTGATGCCAGAACTGTGATAGCTATATAGATTTTCACTAGTGGTCTGTGGTGTACCTCAAGATTCTGTTTTGCCTCCCACGCTATTCAACATCTACCTGAAACTGGAGCGAGAGGTTGTCCAGTTTTGGGGTTTTGTGTCACCAGTACACAGAAGACATCCAACTCTTTCTATCCTTGCCATCTAAATCTGAGGAAGCTGTTTTGACTCTAGATCTATGTCTGGAAGTATGGATTGGATGAGAGTGAATAAACTAAACTAAACTTAATCTAGACAAGATAGACGTTCTCCTGTTCAGCTGAAAGGCAAATCCAGGAACAGGTATACAACCTGTGCTGCATAGGGTTGTACTCCTTCTAAAATCATGCTTGGGGGTGCTCCTGGATTCACCTCTGGGTCCGGATACCAGGTTTAGGTGGTGGTCAGGAGCTCATTTGCACAATTAAAGCTTGTGCACCAGCTGCACCCATTCCTGGAGACGTCTGATCTAGCCATAGTGACACATGCCTTAGTTACATCCAGGCTGGATTACTCTAATGTGCTGTATGTGGGGCTGCCTTTGGAAACTTTAACGGATCTGAAACAGCAGCCAGATTGTTAACTCGGGCTGGTTACAGAAATCACAACTCCAACTGTATGTGGGGCTGCCTTTGGAAACTTTAGCGGATCCGAAACAGCAGCCAGATTGTTAACTTGGGCTGGTTACAGAAATCACAACTCCAGGTATTAAGATAATCAGGACAGGTCTTTCTCTTGATCCCACCACCTTTACAGGTGCATTTGGTGGGGAAACAGGGAGAAGGCCTTCTCTGGTGCTGCTGCCAGACTTTGGAATTCCCTCCCACAGGAGGCCAGACTGGCTCCATCTTTGCTGTCCTTCCACAAGCAGGCAAAGATTTTCCCCTCCAGGCAGGCTTTCCCCTTATGACTGGCAGTCTGAGAGGGGTTTTTAACTGGATGGTTATTCCATTGTTGCTTTTAATGTGTTCTGATATTGTTTTGTACCTTTTTTTAGGGTGGTATTTGCTCGATCCTTTTTTATTATTTGTATACTTACTGCTTTTAGCTTTTAAATATTGCATTTTAATTACTTATGCTGCTTTGGGTCCTCTTTAAGGAGAAGAGTGGGTAAAAATTGTAAATAAATAAATAAGAAAGTTATACCACGTAAAGTTAGCATGACAAACTGCTGCATGCATGCTACTGAGGCAGCCTGCACTGCCAAACAAAAAGCAGAATAAGACCAAAGTAAATCCAACTGCAGCTGAAAGGTTGACAAAGCAGAGGAGGTTAAGCCACCATGCCTCAAGAATGCGGAAGGATCTCAGTGAGCTGCAATAAAATAGTTGGTGGGCAGGGCCCACATTTTTGTAACAGTTTCTGCCTGCCAACGCACTCGATATCACAATTCAGTTCTATGCATGTCAACTCAGAAGTAAACCCTATTGTGTTCAGCATGGTTTATAATTAATCATAATTACGCCTAGTGCTACAACTTCAGACAGGTACCTGCTTGCAGAAGTTGATCGTACATGTCCACAGAAGCGTTTACTTTCCTCAACTGAATCTGATTTCTAAGTGCTTCTTCACTCACTTCCTCAGGCTGTAATTCGACCTTCGGTGGCATCAAGGACTAAAATAAGATGTTGATAATTATTCCCAAATTATCTAAAGAGAGAATTCACCAATGCCAAGTTATTTCTTTGGGCCCAATTGCAAACTTGCAACAGGTCCTCTTGCCTCACAATCCCTCACTTGAGAAACTGTAAGACTGACTGGTATCTTCAAGTTTCCTTTACCTTCTTTTGGTTAACCCTCCCAAGTTCCTGGCTTGTGCTCATGCATATTTCTAACAAACATAGCAGTATAACAATCACTTGTAAATCATCCTTCAGACAATCCTCTGTTTCCCTGGAATCTCATGGCAGTTTTTCCTGTGCATTGCATTCTAGAAGTCTAATGAAATGACTCATGGTTTGGGACGTACAAATCCGAACAGCAAACTGATTCACCCAAAGATGTTAATCACTGTTGAATACTCATAGTTTTCAAATTTAATGTCTTCCATTGTTGTAAGCCACCTTGGGTCCTTTCCAAGGAGAAAGGCAAGGTAAAAAATATTTTAAACAAACAAATAAAAAAGTTATCTGATGGAGCCAATGACTATATAGGTGAAAATCCTCTTGTATAGCTACACAAGTTTAAATGGCAATGAGGTGATCAATCCATGACATTAAAGTACATTTTAAAGCTTCCTATCTTTCCTCCTCAGGTTCTGAGGCTTCCAAGGATCTCTGGCTTCCAGGGATCTGTTTTCAGGGAAGCCTTTGGGAGCCTCAGAAATAGTTGTGGGGAGGGCTTTAATATCCAAATCACTGCCAGATTACCTCCATTGGCATCAGGACCCAGTAATTTTTCAATATTAAAGACTCCTTCACATCCTGAGGCTCTCAAGGCCATACAAAAGGTCAAAAGGAATAACTAGAGCGCCTCAGAACCTGACAGGATAGCATTAAAACTTTAAATTAAATTAAAAATTAATATCATCGTTTAGTATCATTGCCATATACTCTGTGCAGTTCTATTAACTTTATTACAACTAAAGATTCCATGATCTGTACTCCACTACCTGCATTCATCTCTTGAAAAATCTGTTGCGCATGGACATTTCATACAAGAAAATTTTCTTGTATGGGAATTCAATGAACTATGTAGGGACTGCTTACATCTTCACACGGTTCTTGCCACCTCATTCTTCCCATCTTCCAGAATCAACCATTTATGATCCAGCAGAAGAAAAGATTGATCTGCAGATCTGAACTCACTTTCTGTATTCATAAACAAAACCATAAACACTAAACTGCCATTGGTCATGTGGTACTTTCTACAAGAGGAAGCAAAAGGTTGGACCTGCATGTGATGAAGGCTAACTATCATTTGCCTGTCACACCAGGGAGAAAATGCTTGAATGAGCAAAGTCCTTCAAGATTTGCCTGAATAAAGTTCTGTTTGCTTAACACTGCATTCATAAACAATGGATTAACTGTGCTAAAAGCTCACTGGACCTAGTCACTCTTTTTACTGGAAAAAAATGATGTGTAAGAACAAAAGCATAAGATTTACCGGTATGTGAGGTTCAGCAATATCCCTCTGAAAATATTCAGGATGTGTGTCAACAACATATTTGGCAGCATTTTTTCCAGATTCTTTTGATAAGGAATATAAACGCTGTAAAAAATATACATTTGTGTTAATAAATCATTACCTCATGCCTTTTCCCCCAGGATTCTTACCAGTGTTATTAAAAGAAGATCTTCATTTGCACCAAACATTCACCATAAAACATTTTTACATTCATGCTTCTTTTGTGGTTTCTGTTACGTGACTGTGCTGAACAAAGCTTACAGGCAGGCTAATTTTATTATATTTTTGTTATATTTTATATGTTGTTATATATGTTAGTAGCCGCCTAGAGTGGTCGTTTGACTAGATAGGCGGGGTATAAATGGAATAAAAAAAATTAGTCTCCAATCAATCAATACATTTAAATGGAATAAATAAATAAATAAAATATTAGTCTCCAATCAATCAATACATTATAATTTCCACAAAAATTCAGACTGCAAGACAGTCTATATAGCTGGGGTGGGCGGGTTCAGATTGGTGATGATGTTAAGTCTTCAAGAAAGAAGGAAGAAGTCCTTAAGATGAAATAAAAGGAGAAGGAAGTGACATAGGGCTTTTGGGAAAGGAGTAAATCTAGCTAGACACTGAATGCCTAAAGCTATCCTGCATTAAAATAAAAGTAACAATTCCAAATATATTTGACAAGCACCAAAACAGTGCTGCAGGACAAGCAGAACAGATGCCTGAACCATACATGGAGGGCACAAAAATAATATGTACAATCTACATTACAATCTACATGTTTTGTGTCCAGGGGGAAGAATTAACATATAACAAAACCCGAATCAACAGCCAGGGCACAAGTGCATTTTCACCTTCTTTGTTAGCCCAAACTGCTGAGCAACTGCCCATTTTGGAAAAGGGCACTTACAGATACATAAGGAGCACTGAAGCCTTCCCTGCATGCAAGTTTATGTATAGTGGCAGACCAAGCAGCCAGATATATTTTTGTTTACTTCTGACAAACTTAATGTTACTTACATACTCACGAATATTTCTAGGGATGAGAAAAGGGTCATCTTGAAACATGTAGTTTGCAGCTGTGATGTCCTGAATTTTAAGAAGCACAGAACATTTAAGCTGCAGGTTCCATACAGACAAATACAACAGTTAAACTTGAAAGACTTTTTAAAATATATTGTTTCAAATAATACCAGAAACCACTTTTAAGAAAAACACAGTTGCAAATATAGAACTTTTGCAGTGTATGTTTAAAGTGTGAATTTTGGGAATAATGAAACTCTACATGTGATTATCAATTAAGGTGATGGATACAGTTTATTAATACAGTGGTGCCTCACTTAACGAGCGCACTGTTTAACGACGAATCCTCATAGCGATGCGGATTTTGTGATCGTTTTAACGATTGCATTGCGATGTTTTATATGGCAAAACACCGCACTGTAATGATCGATAAGCGTTTCGCTTACCGATCTTCGCATTGCGATGTTTTGGAAACAGTTGATCGGCGGTTCCAAAATGGCCGCAGCATCAAGAAAATGGCCGCCTGCAGCGTTTTCGCGCCCTGCCCTCGCTTACCGAGGCGGCAAAACTGGCAGCCCTTTTGCAGTGTATGTTTAAAGTGTGAATTATGGGAATAATGAAACTTTACATGTGATTATCAATTAAGGCGATGGATACAGTTTATTAATATAAGGATCACTTCCTCTCAGTATTGGAGGTACTGTATTTTATAAAAATGGAGTTTAATGCGTTCCTATGGGGTTTTACGTTCCAGATAGTGATGTTTCCGGATAGCGATGTTAATCCTGGAATGGATTAACGTCGCTATGCGGGGCACCACTGTATAAGAATCACTTACTCTCAGTATTAGAGGTATTTTATAGGAATGCCTGGAGCTGCACCAACTCACAGGAAAATCGGTGTAATATTCTATTAAGCAAACATTCATCCAGGTCATTCTCACTGTGTGAACAATACTGTTCTATTACTAGTTTTGGAAGAAATAAGAAAATATAAGCTCTTGAATACTCTGAGGATGGTCACAATTCTGTAAATTAAGAAAATATAAGCTCTTGAATACTCTGATGGTCACAATTCTGTAAACTGATGTGCTGTAGTATCTAGGTATGCCATGTTCTCATACTCTACATCTGGATCTTTGTTTATGGGATAATATGCTTAATTTACCTAGCACAGAATATCGTGAACCACACACACACTTTGTAAAAATACAGTATCAACAACAATAATTAAAAAACCCTCAGAAAAAACAGATTGCATTCTATGGAGTCTCAGGTTGTTAAAAAAACTAATACCATGTTCAAAAGCACTTACCCTCTTCACAGTTGAGGCAAGTGCTTGAAGAACAGCTAGTTTATCCCTAAATATAAAAAATCTGTGTTAAATGTTATGTCTTCAGCAGGTAACATACTATGTTTGCAGTAATTTAATAAGCTGTGGTATCTTTCTGGGTTGCCCACAATTGCAGCAAGTGTTATTTTCCTTCTGGTGCTTTCTGACTTATCAGTTCAAGAACACTGTGCTGAAAAATGCCTGTTCAACACCTTTGCCTTTGGCGCTGGTTCCATTTTGTCCCCTTTTGCTTTTTAACATACATGTAAATAGCACAAGAGGTAGTCCAGGAAATTTTGAATGCAGAAGTACACACAGCTCTTTCCCTACTTTTTCTTTCACTCTCAAAGACCTGCTACAGTTCTTTGGGTGCATGTGGGACAGCCATTGAAGCTTAATTCAGAGAAAACAGAGGTTTAAATATATACAGTTATAGAAAGAAGTGATGGAAAGGAAAACTGAACACTGTGAGGCTCCCAAAGTGGAAGCCATGGTAGGAGTGCCGCTGCTCCCGAAGAGTAACAGCCAGACCCAGACTTCCCCCCCACCAACCCCACCGCGACGGGAAGAGAAAGGAGTGGAGACCCCTGATTGGGGGACAGAATGCGGCGGAACCCTTACCCTGGGCAAGGGGGTGGATACCCGGGACCTAGAAGAGGAGGTGAAAGGGTTAAAGATTGCCCGCGAAACGGGACGGGTCCAGG